TTTTTTTAGTGTTGATGGATTAGTGTAGTTAAGAACTTCAAGTTGTTAAAGCACAGTAATAAAGTCATAACGTCAAAGTTAATTCACCTTAACGCTAACCTAACATAACCTAACCTAGCCGGAGGTGTCAAATTCAGGTGAAATAAACTGAGATGTGTAATCATCAAGTGAAATAATCTAAGACAACTAATATTCAGGTAATTCTTTAAACACCAAAGACGCACAACACCCAAACCCCAACAAACTATCCACAACCAACTGAACTAAATTATGAACAATTACAGTAAGACGATCTCACTTTCCTCCCGAGTTACGACCACAATGTATATACCCAACCTCTGGGACTCACACCACTAGAGCCTGAGGTGAGGACGTAAATCTCGCACCTGCATTGTTGGGGGGAGAATTCTGGGCTTTACCTACATGCTAATCGGCGCTAATGACAGCTGTGGTATAGCTCTATTATTAACCCAGGCTTTAAATTTCTTCTCCAGCTATTATCAACGTCAAACTCACGCGTGGATTCCCCGCTGGGTGAAGGAAGGGGTGAGGGGGGGGGGTGAAGAGGGGAGAGAGACAGGAGGATGGTGCATGGGAGGAGGAAGGAAAGAGGGCATAGCGAAGGGAAGAGAAAGGGTAAAGGAGAAGGAAGGAGGGAAGAAGAGAGTGAAAGAGAAGAATGATGATGATGATGATGATGATGATGATGATGATGATGAGGAGGAAATAAAATGACAACAGACTCACCAAGGCCAACTCACGACTTCGTTGAGACCACCAGGAGACCAACTTGTGTTAGTAGGGGAAATTCTTCATTATATAGACCCAACAAAACTCAGTAGGGGAACCCAACAAAACCCAGAAAAAATCAACAAAAGGCCCCACCAAACCCAATAGATGCCCGACAAACCCCAACGGTACCACATCTAATAATAATAATAATAATAATAATAATAATAATAATAATAATAATAATAATAATAATAATAATAATAATAATAATAATAATAATCATAAAATAATAATTATTTCCTCACAGGCTTCAGTATTGTGGTTTAAAACTGAAAGACAAAACACCGGCAAACTACATCCGTGATATTTACAGGTCACCAAGCAATCCGTCCACTCAGTCGTTTCCAAGTCAGTGGGATTAAAAATAAAAAAATAAAAAAAAGGGATTAAATAAATTTCCTACAGTATTAGTTAATAAATATGACTCTATAATGTTTCCAAATGATAACAAAGTTGAAATTAATAAGAAATAAAATACAATGACAGGAATTGATCAATGTTACAGGTATTGCCAAAAGCGCATCAAAGTTCCTCTTAAATCTTATTATGTAAAATCGCTCTAGGGTGGCCAGGTAAAAGTTGAAGAGGGTATACGGTACATGACTCACTCTTCCTCCTCCTCCTCTACCTCTACCTCCTCTACCTCTACCTCCTCTTCTACCTCCTCTTCCCAACACCGGAAGCAGGCGAGGGTGGCGTTCTCCAACACGTTTAAAAGTTAACTACATGAAACACTCTCCTCCAAATTCGTTCTCTGTTAATAGTTGGCTAAATAGTGTGTGTGTGTGTGTGTGTGTGTGTGTGTGTGTGTGTGTGTGTGTGTGTGTAGTCTATAATGTGTACAGGAGGCTAGAATAAAAAGAAATAAAACAATCTGAGAAACCCCCATGTTAAGTAAAAGAAACACACACACACACACACACACACACACACACACACACACACACACACACACACACACACACACACACACACACACACACACACACACACACAGTACAACATCCTTATCTCATCCAACCCCAACGGGAACCGAACCCAAGACAGCAGCAGTAGTGGAAGACAAACACACCACTGTACAACTAACTAATAAAATATATACAGAAAAAACACCAAACACAAAAATACACGAGTTTTATCCACGTAGAATTAAACCAATGTAAAGTTAAACTAATCTGGATGATGTATGTTTTTTTCCTATGTCAGTTTATTACACATGGTGACCTTTGTTTGATCATCCTATAAAATAAATATTAAACTCATGCTGATGTTATTTCTACAATTAAATAACTGACTGCATTTTTATCCTATACGTCTCTCTCTCCTTTATGCTTGAGTGTGGTGGGGTGTGGCGAGCAGATATACAATTATAACATCCTACCACAGTGTTCAGTTCATGTGTGTGTGTGTGTGTGTGTGTGTGTGTGTGTGTGTGTGTGTGTGTGTGTGTGTGTGTCAGAGTTAGTGGTTGAAGAACGAAACAATTAACTTAACCTTCCTTCCTCTCTTCTCTCTTCCTTCCCTTACTATTTTTCTCTCCTTTCCTCCCTCCCCCACTCTCCCTCTCTACTTCTCCTCACTTTCCTCTCCCTCTCTACTACCCTCACTCCCCTCTCCCCCTCCCTTCTTCCCAGTGGACGGGGGAGAGAGGAAGTGGGCCACCTACCCCCTAGGATACCTCCTCTCTCCTCCCTGCATGATCAATAGGTGCAAGTGAGGAGAAGAGGGAAGAAGAGGAGGAGAAGGTGCTGGAGGCCACAAGAGGGGGAAGGGGGAGGTGTTGGAGGCCACGGGAAATGAGGAGAAGGTGGTGGTGGCCACGGGAAATGAGGAGAAGGTGTTGGAGGCCACAGGCGAGGAGGAAGTAAAGAGATGTTGGAGGCTAAGAAAGAGGGAATGAAGTAGAAAGAGAGAGGTGAGGAATGGATGGGGAGGTAGAAGAAGAGGAGTAGGCGGATTGGATGAAGGAGGGGATAGGAGGGGGAAAAGGAGGAGGAAGAGGAGGAGGAATAAAATGAAAAGAGAGAAGAAAGACACGTGAGAAGGAAAGGAGAGGAAAGAGCAAGACAGGGAAGGATGATGATGATGATGATGATGATGATGATGAGGGAAACAGCCAGGGATTATTTTAATTTCCTTACTACCCAAGTGATTACAACCCAACCCAACCCAACCAAACCCAACCTAACCCAACACAACCAACCCAGCAACCCAACCCCAACCCAACCCCAACCCAACCCAACCCAACCTAACCTAACCTAACCTAACCTAACCTAACCCAACCCAACCCAACCTAACCCCAGCAACTGAAGCACACTAAAAATTTGTTACATGAAGTTATATAATTAGGTTACACAAGAGCTACAAAAAATATAGTCACACACCAACAAACAGTAAATTCCAGGTACGTATTACAGTAACTCAATTGTAAATAATGAAAAAGGATCACAACAACTTATTTACGGATTACGTAGAGTACTTAAGTGCTCCCGGGATTATATCTACAATTCTCAAAAAGTGTAGTGTAGTGTAGTGTAGTGTAGTGTAGTGTAATGTGTAGTGTAATGTGTAGTGTAGTGTAGTGTAGTGTAGTGTAGTGTAGTGTAGTAGGGTGTAGTGTAGTGTAGTGTAGTGTAGTGTAGTGTAGTGTAGTGTAGTAGTGTGTAGTGTAGTGAAGTGTAGTGTAATGTAGTGTAGTGTAGTGTGTAGTGTAGTGTAGTGTAGTAGTGTGTAGTGTAGTGTAGTGTAGTGTAGTGTAGTGTAGTGTAGTGTAGTGTAGTGTAGTACTTTGCAGGTTCTAGCCAAGTGAGAGTGATTCCTCGCCCCATAGTTCCCGGCAAAAGTAACACACGATCATATAACATTCAGTCTTTCTCAACTCTCAACTTATATACCCAACTTATGGAGAGAGAGAGAGAGAGAGAGAGAGAGAGAGAGAGAGAGAGAGAGAGAGAGAGAGAGAGAGAGAGAGAGAGAGAGAGAGAGATGAACCAAACATTGTTACAATTATGGTAATTTATCTGTTACTGCAAGAAAGCGCTTGTTGGTGTAGTGGTGGTGGTGGCGGTGGTGGTAGTGGTGGTGGTGGTGGTGGCTAACTAACTGTATATAATATTAATGAATGTGTTAAATGCTGCAACGTTATCTACCTATGCCCCGCTTCGCTTATTATATTATCTCTTGTGCAATTTATGCAATATCCATTACTCGCGTTCATGTTGTTGTTGTTGTTGTTGTTGTTGTTGGTGGTGGTGGTGGTGGTGGTGGTGGTGGTGGTGGTGGTGGTGGTGGTGGTGGTGGTGGTGGTGGTGGCGGCGGCGGTGGTGGCGGCGGTGATGGTAATGGTGATGATAGTGGTGATAATGGTGATGGTTGTAGTGGTGATGTTTGTGGTAGTGGTGATGATGATGGTAATGGTGGCGGTAAAGATGATGGTAGTGGTGGTAATGATGCTGGTAGTGGTGATGATGATGGTAGTGGTGGTAATGATGCTGGTAGTGGTGGTAATGATGCTGGTAGTGGTGGTAATGATGCTGGTAGTGGTGATGATGATGGTAGTGGTAATGATGCTGGTAGTGGTGATGATGATGGTAGTGGTGGTGATGATGATGGTAATGGTGGCGGTAAAGATGCTGGTAGTGGTGGTAATGATGCTGGTAGTGGTGATGATGATGGTAGTGGTGGTAATGATGCTGGTAGTGGTGGTAATGATGCTGGTAGTGGTGGTAATGATGCTGGTAGTGGTGGTAATGATGCTGGTAGTGGTGATGATGATGGTAGTGGTGGTAATGATGATGGTAGTGGTGGTAATGATGCTGGTAGTGGTGGTAATGATGCTGGTAGTGGTGATGATGATGGTAGTGGTGGCGGTAAAGATTATGGTAGTGGTGGTAATAGTGGTAATGGTGGTAGTGTCGGTAGCAGCTTTAACAAGGTAAAAGTGGAGGTAATGAAGGTGTCAGGGACGGGCTCTGGCGTGTATCACTAGACACATGGGTAGTTTTTGACACCACAGTAATTGCATAACCATGATTACCTGGGCCACTCCCCCAGTAGCTGCTGCGGTGCCTTTCTGCTCTGAACTTCACAGCTCTTCTAATACTCTTGCCAATATTGGCCTAATGGTTTATGACTGTACAATAATTACCTCCACCACTGCCGTCATGTTATTGTTGTGTAAAACTAACGAGGGGACGTTATTGTTGCAGGTGTGAGCTGGAGGACCAATCAGGAGGAGGTGACCATCATCCGCCACGACGACGGAGGCCGCCACGCAGCGTTGGACGGCACCCACTGCAGAAGAGACTCAGCCAACAACTGCCGGGGAGGAGCGGCGGTGGCCACCACGTCCGGGAATAGGAGGGAGGTCACGTTTGAGGCTCTGGTGGAGATGAAGTCAGAAGTTTCGTCAGAGGTCATGTCGGATTTGTCGACGGAAATAACGCCAGAAGGTCAAGAGGAGGTCATGGCGGAAAAGACAACCAGAGGCATTGTAGAGGTGGCAAATGAGTCGGCATTAGAAGCCCCCAGAAGGCAGGTCATGCATGACGGACTATCATACGCACCAAAAGAGGTCAAGTCTACACCCTCGTCAGAGGTTACGTGACGTAACCAACGATGGTTAACAGACAAAGAATTTTTTCGTTTATGACAGACAGCGTCGGGGTCTTTGGACTCGTGAATTGTGTCACCAGAGGGGACAAGTGCCACGCCTGGGACAAGAAACCGGCAGGACCTGATCTGCCTTGAGTCTTGTGCCTCTGGTCTTCTTCCTGTATGACACGGGTTGTGGCTAATACTTCTCACCTCATAGTAGTACGTAATTTGTCATTACCGAGCGATGTTCTCATTCAGCTCAACGACAAAAGGAATGACGTTCACCTTCATCCCTGCAGTGAAAACAAATGCCTGTTGCGGCTTTTACGTGTGGCGGCACTGAACAGGGTGAACAGAGAGTGCAGAGGTCGACCTCGTGAATCCATGAAATATCACCTCCTAATTTCCTCCAGCTAAGACATAAAGAAGACTGTGGATTTGTGCCACAAAAGATTAAAAATGTTACATGTATATGAACGTTTTTTGAACCTTGATGTAAAAACTTTCAATCGTGCTGAGATTCTCCCATCACTTTGTGCTGCTATTAATTATAAAGATTTTTTTTTTTTTAGCGACAAGAGTGTCACCGACCAAGGGTAGAGACGGAGCTTGTGGGTCGTCCAACACACCCTCATGCTCCCAGATACCGACGTAAAAAACGAAAGTGGTGGCCTGAATCATGCCTTTTATTCCTGTACCATCGACATGTACATGTATTATTAAGCGCACTCATTTCCTTGGTGCTATGTTCATTCTTGTATATATAAAATGTTTGTATACGGTTTATTTTGGGAGAATATTCTTTGAAACTGTTGTGTGATAGCGGGTCAGCTATATATATAGGATCCAGAGAGAGAGAGAGAGAGAGAGAGAGAGGTATATAATTATTTTGAGGATACTGTGAAGAATATTTTATTTAGTATTTGAAGATATTCTTTGTGTGTGTGTGTGTGTGTGTGTGTGTGTATTAGTGTATGGTAAAGGAAGGTGATAGAATAAGTGCAGGACGAAGGTTGTCGACTTAGGGATAAAAAGCAACAATTGGCAACAAAATAAAGCTGAAGTAATTGTTCTTAAAGTGAAGAAGACTTAATTCTAACTTAATTTAACCAGCGTAGGGGGGGGAGTTGACTGGTGTAAGGTGGTGTCCAGGTGTGCAAGACTTCTCCTCCTCCACCACACTCAACTCACCACACCACCACACTCGACAACTCACCATCTCTTCCTCCACCACACTCTTCCTCTCACCATCCCTCTTCCTCCACACTCAACAACTCACCATCCCTCTTCCTCCACCACACTCAACAACTCACCATCTCTTCCTCCACCACACCGACAACTCACCATCCCTCTTCCTCCACCACACTCAACAACTCACCATCCCTCTCCTCCACCACACTCAACAACTCACCATCCCTCTTCCTCCACACACACTCAACAACCACCATCCCTCTTCCTCCACCACACTCAACAACTCACCATCCTCTTCCTCCACCACACTCAACAACTCACCATCCCTCTTCCTCCACCACACTCGACAACTCACCATCCCTCTTCCTCCACCACACTCAACAACTCACCATCCCTCTTCCTCCACTACACTCGACAACTCACCATCCCTCTTCCTCCACTACACTCAACAACTCACCACTCCACACTCAACAACACACCATCCTCTTCCTCCACCACACTCAACAACTCACCATCCTCTTCCTCCACCACACTCAACAACAACTCCCTCTTCCTCCACCACACTCAACAACTCACCATCCCTCTTCCTCCACCACACTCGACAACTCACCATCCCTTCCTTCCACCATCCTCTTCCTCCACTACACTCACAACTCACCATCCCTCTTCCTCCACCACACTCAACAACTCACCATCTCTTCCTCCACCACACTCAACAACTCACCATCCCTCTTCCTCCACCACACTCAACAACCACCTCTTCCTCCACCACACTCAACAACTCACCATCCCTCTTCCTCCACCACACTCAACAACTCACCATCCCTCTTCCTCCACCACACTCAACAACTCACCATCCCTCTTCCTCCACCACACTCGACAACTCACCATCCCTCTTCCTCCACCACACTCAACAACTCACCATCCCTCTTCCTCCACCACACTCGACAAGTCACCAACTCTCCTCCTCCACCACATCGCTTCCTCCTACATTACACTGTACAACTCAAACCCCCCCCCCCCCCCATGGACCAAACACCCGCTGATTGAGGAATAACAAGCAGCCACTTCTCAAGCAGTGAGTGGGATATGTTTACATCTTGAAGGTAAACACACGACATAACACCTGTATGTTAGACTCCTAATTGGATCTGTCTCACCTGACGCAGAGTTGTTGTGTTAGTTGGTTAAGGAAGAGTTTTAAAAGGATATGTTAATGCCAGTGATTAATGCCCTTTTACAGTATATCTTAAGTACTGTTGAGCAATGTTAATGATTACAGGGACATAGTGACAGCTGTATTAGAGTGTCGTGATGGAATGTTTCGGGACGCCCATGAAAGTTGGATAAAAATATACTGTACAATTTTGTTTTTTTCTTTCATGTTATCACTATATCATAAATATTATTGTAATTGTTATTATTGTTATTATTGTCATTATCATTATCACTATTGTCGTTATAACTGTCATACTTTCTATTACTAGTACTATTATACAGGCAGGTTGGAGAATGGACAAGGCTTACTCTTGTCAACGGCTCCAATATGTCGCGAAAATATTTTATAAGACGCTTTTGCACAGGTAAGAATTTTACGATAAATAACTGTATAAAGAAGACTGTATAACTCTTAGGGGTAAGACTAATAAGATTAACTTAGTATATAATAATAATATCCAATCATGACAGCACTTCAGTACATCTCTTAACTCCTCATATGATCTTACAGCTTCCATATTGTTAGAAAATTTCAGAATGACAATCCCCTCATCTCTCTCCCCCTCACAGAAGTTAATATTACCCGTCTTCCCTCACGACGTCCCCTCATAACCATTGCACATCTTTTTCTCATAACTTCACATTACAACACTTCAATATACCTCTTCTTCCCTTACAACCTCCCCTCATAATGTTAACTTTAACCTTACAACTTTTACAACTTCCCCTCACAACCTCCTCCCCTTCACAACTTCCTTCCCCTCACAACCCCCCTCCCCTCACAGCCACCCTACCTCCCTCCCCTCACCCTCGTCTTCTCTTTAATTTGTTATTACCATCATACACGTGAACAGAGTCTCAGGAACCCTAAACAACTTACCATTATTGTAATATCTCTCTCTCTCTCTCTCTCTCTCTCTCTCTCTCTCTCTCTCTCTCGCTCTCTCTTGGGAATTAACGTCCAAGTGTCTCCTTAAGATGACATTAATAACTCAGAAGACGTAATTAACCAACATAATAAAATGTATAAACTACACGACTCAAATTATTATTACAATTCCGCGCCATTTTATCTTCCTCATTAGAAAGAGCTATTTACCGAGACATACCGTTTCTCGAGTCATTACGGAGATGGTTATGTATTATGTAGCTCCATGGGAAGTCAGTAATGCCAGGCTCGACGATTCCGGGTTCAGATCCGGTTTCGGGTTTTGATTCGATTTCGGGTTCAGATTCAGTTTCGGATTCAGATTCGGTTCCGGGGTTCAGATTCGGTTCGGGGTTTAGATTCGGTTTCGGCTTCAGATTCGGTTCCGGCTTCAGATTCGGTTCAGGGATTCAGATTCAGTTCCAGGTTCAATTTCGGTTTCTGGTCCGGATGCAAATTCTGCGGATTAGTTAGGTGTCGTCTTCCTCCCTGGTGAGACGGTCGTAAGAGCTATCTCGCGTTTCCAATATTGATAAATCCCCTTTCTTTCCTCCTGCACACCTCTCCATTAACACGACCAAATTTTATCTCGATATTTTATCCCGTTCTCTGTTGGCACAAAGACGAAATTAATATGGAGGGATTTTTTTTTTTAGTTAAGATATACGTTATAATGTTAAAAAAAAGAACTAATAATAATGGGGATGTATTAAATAAAGAGGAAGTTCTTCATTCTTTATTAAGGACCTCACCGTTTTCTGTTGTTACGCTGCAAATTTTCAAGAGGGACTTTACCAAATTTTATGTTACATCTAATACAAGTGAGAGAAAGACAGACTTGTTCGTTTTCTGGTGGAACAATGGAATATAAAAGAGAGAGAGAAAGGAGGAAGGAGAAAGAGAGAGGGAAAGAGAGAGTGGGGGAGAGGGGAAGGAAAGACTGAGAGGAGGGGGGAGGGAAGGAGAGACTATCCTAATTTATGCCACACAGAAACCGAAACTCGAACCCTCACAAAACATGTAATCATAGACGGTGTTATTATTAGTATTATTATAGTCATCAACTACAACAAATAATAAACAAGAAAGATTAAAGAGGATTATAACAATTACATGTGAAAAAAAATAGAATGATTCGTCAGTCATCTTTTACACTGCACATCAAAAACTCAGATTTCAAAATACGAGGGTAAAAAAAAATAATAATCATCATAACTGAACACACACACACACACACACACACACACACACACACACACACACACACTCGGCAAAAAGAATGGCAAATACGAACGTTATGATCTAGTATTTATTCATTATATTTGTCCTCTTAAACAAAAAAGCAAGATTAACGTTTAACAATTATATATATTATATTCTATCTCCACCCACACACCCATTCTTCTTCCACCCACACCCATTCTGTCTCCATCCATATCCATTCTGTCTCCACCCACGCCCATTCTACTTCCACCCACATCCATTCCACCTCCACACACCCATATCACCTCCACCCGCAACACCTCACTCCTCCAATTTACTCCTATTTCATTCCTTCCAATTACTCATCGACCGACCCCCCCCCCCCCCCCCACCTCACGTTAAACAATCACAAATAAACCAAACTTGTTGCACCCCCATCAAACCTCGAACCAACGTCCTGGAGTTCCGTGCCTGGGTAGAGCCCACCCAGCCACGGGGCTCTAAAGGCAATTAAAACCAGATCAGATAAATATACTGTATATATTATGTCTGTCGAATTCTCTTTTTTTTTTGCCTATATATTTTTTTATATGTAGGTTCTCAATAGATTAAGCTATTAACTGTAGTGTTGTAGTGTTACTTTAGAAGATGTAGCAAATTGTAGCATAAATAAAGGATAAAATGTGATAATTATCGGTTATTCTTCTTCTTCCTTTCATTTGTTGCGGTGAAGGTGTCCATTGTCCACAGAGAGCTTTAGGACAGAGAGAATAATAAAACGTGTATGTGTGTTAAGCTGAAACGTAATATAAATCTGGAGTATTTAAGACGACTAGACAGACACCGGGAATACTCAGATATTAATAATCTTCCTTTCATATAAACAACCATGAAAAGCAGTTTACATGATCTTCCCAATTAAAAAAAAAAAAAATAAATAAATAAATAAATAAATAAATAAATAAATAATTATACTATAACATCCCACAATACGCACATGGGGTTGAAAAAAATAATCATCTCGTTCATTATTAAAAATAAATTAAAATATAACAAACACGTAATTATATATCCATTTCTTCCAAAAACGACGGAAAAAAATAATTATTAAATTTTCTAGTGGTAATAACATGTAAATATTAATTATTTTTTAACCAATGAAACACAGATAATTTAAGATAAGAGTAATAATGAGAACCAAACGATTTTATTAATTATATGAGTACAGTAAAAAATCACGGCAGGTTTAAATAATCCCCCCAAAAAATAATAAAATAAAATAACCTAATTTAATATCATATGGCTACTTAATATCCAGGCCTTACGTTA